AGTGCTTATTTATTTTTTAATTGGCAGTTTTTGTACCTTTTGACTATCTTCATCCAATTCCATCTCCCCCCACTCTCTGCCTCTGATAACCACAAGTCTGATCTTTTTTATATGAGTTTCTTTGTTTGCTTATTTATTTTTGAAGTGAAATTGACCTACAACAGTCCGTTAGTTTCTGGCCCACAACACAGTGATTCAATATTTCTATCTACTACAAAATGATAACCACAATAGATTTCTTTTTCATATATGTCATTTTAACTATTTATTTGGCTGCGATGGGTCTTCATTGCTGCGTGGGCTTTTCTCTGATTGTGGCGAGTGGGAGCTACTCTCTAGTTGTGGTGCATGGGCTTCTCGCTGGGGTGGCTTCTTTTGTTGTGGAGCTCAGGCTCTAGAGCATGCAGGCTTCAGTAGTTGCTCAGTTGCGGCCCTAAAGCACAGGCTTGATAGTTGTGGTGTGGGGACTTAGTTGCTCCACAGCACGTGGGATCTTCCCGGACCAGGGATCAAACCTGGGTCTGCTGCATTGGCAGGCAGATTCTTCACCATTGCGCCCCCAGGGAAGCTCTACAATCGATTTCTTAATTACCTCTCCCTCCCTTCCTGAACAGTACTGTTTCCTTCCTTACCTGAAGTTTTTTCCCTGTTACATGGCTGGCCGTTTTCTTGTGCCCTTCAGCCTAGTCTCCATGCTACTTTATTGGAGTATTACTACGCTCATGAACCCTTCTTTTTAGTCTCTCCAGGCCCTTCTTCACTAGTACCTTCTTGACCACTGTCTAGAGGTCTTCCATGTTCATCATCCTTAGGAGCTGCTTTGGCTTGGTCTTGCCCTCCTGTCTATCTTTAGCCCTATTTCTCTCCATGACAAATTCTATTTCATGCTGTTTCCTGTTCCTATAACAGCTATTTGTTTCTGAGTCCACTGACTTACTCTCCTGAAGTTACATTCACAACACAGCTTCATCCCCTTCTTTCATCCCCTCCTGCCCCCACCCTCGGAGAAGGCAATGGCACCCCACTCCAGTACTCTCGCCTGGAAAATCTCATGGACAGAGGAGCCTGGTGGGCTGCGGTCCATGGGGTCTCAAACGGACACGACTGAGTGGCTTCACTTTCACTTTTCACTTTCATGCATTGGAGAAGGAAATGGCAACCCACTCCAGTGTTCTTGCCTGGAGGATCCCAGGGACAGCAGAGCCTGGTGGGCTGCCGTCTGTGGGGTCTCACAGAGTCGGACACGACTGAAGTGACTTAGCAGCAGCAGCAGCCCCCACCCTACATTTTGAAATTTCTCATCCCTGTAATTTGTGACACCTATAGGCCATCCTGGTTCTTCTCCTAGGAGTCCAACCAAAATGCCTTCACCATCTTCTTCCTCTGGACACTTCCTTCTTCAGACCCTCTTGGCATTGCAAACACTTTGGATCTCCTGGTCCAGCCTACTTCCAAAGCTGACTCTCCAGCCCTGAATGTTTTTGCTCTGTGGCCCCAGTCCATTATCTCTAACCCCTGAAGCCATGTGCTGTGCTCCTCATCTCTTTCTTTGCATTTTCACCTGAGACATGCTGGGACCTGCTCTGCTCTGATACTTGTTTCTCATTACATCACACGTGGTGACTTCTACCTAGCAGGCACATTAAAGCCCCCTGGCTGAATTATTTCCAAATGTTTTCTTCCTCCCTTCTGAGAATTCACTTAAAGCTGTCAATAATTTGGCGAGTCGTTCTAAACAAATGTACTTTCTCTAGCATTGTGAATAGAGGGGATGGAAAAGCTGGGGCAGATGCAGATCTGCCTGGAATATACTTCTCCTTACTGTTCTCTCCTCTCTTTCCTCTACGTTACTCTCATTCTTGCCAGGCTGGCACACTTACCTTCATCCCTCAAATCCCAGCTCACAAAGCTCCTTGTCTGTGAAAGCTCACATGATAACTGAGGCAGAATTAGGAGCTTCGTAGCTCTCTCAACACTGCTTCAGCCACAGTCCCACATCTGTCATAGAACTTCTCACTCATGCCGCCCCAGTTACTAAACTGTACACCTCTCAATGGACTTCCCTTCCTTTTCTATATTTCCAGTGCTACTTCCTGGTCCACAACATGGTGATTCAGGACATAAAACAAAGCAGACACCCAATATTTGTTAAATGACCCTCAAGAGGTCCTATCTAAACTCTGTGACTGCAATTATGTAATTCTATGTGCGCATGCTAAGTCATTTCAGTAGTGTCAGACTCTGCAACCCTATGGACTATAGCCTCTATCCAAGGGATTCCCCAGGTAAAAACATGGTAGTGGGTTGCCATACTCTCCTCCATGGGATCTTCCCAACCCAGGAATCGAACCTGAGTCTTTATGTCTCCTGCATTAGCAAGCAGGTTCTTTACCACTAGTGCCACCTGGGACGCCCATATCATTCTATATGTTTGCACTGCTGCTGCTGCTGCTAAGTCTCATCAGTCATGTCCTGCTCTTTGAGACCCCATGGACTGTAGCCTACCAGGCTCCTCCAGCCATGGGGTTTCCTAGGCAAGAGTACTGGAGTAGGGTGCCATTGCCTTCTCCATATGTTTGCACAAATGAGGCTAATTTCTTGGTAATCTTCACATTGTCACAATACCTTACACATGACAGAAAATGTAAAGTGCTTGCTACAGGCTCACACAAAGCAGAGACTCTTTAGGTCCCTTTCCCATCCCCTCTTCTTAGATATAAGATGCACTTCAAAAATATCTATCATTGCCTTAATGCTTTCTAAAGCCTTCACTATTTGTAGACTTCTATTGTTTAAAATCCACTGACAACTCAGTTCCTCTAGAAAATTGTTCTTTTTTAAAAATTAATCAATTTATTTGAATGAGCTGAATCTTAGTTGTGGTATGCAGGATCTTTGATCTTCGTTGTGGCTTTTTTTCTTTGTTTGTTTGAGTTGTGGCATGTGAACTCTTAGTTGCGGCATGTGGGATCTAGTTCCCTGATCAGGGATCAAACATAGGCCCCATATATTGGGAGCACAGAGTCTTAGCCACTAGGCCACTAAGAACCCTAGAAAATTGTTCTTGAACAATCCTACTAGGGAATTCCCTGGTGATCCAGTAGTTAGAACTCTGCTTTCACTGTTGGGGCCTGGGTTGGATCCCTGACCAGGGAACTAAGATCCTATAATCTGTGAGTGGCCCGGCCAAAAAATTAAATTAAATTAAAAATTAAAATTAAAAACATTAAACAACAAGAAATAACCCTACCAAACATCCATAGTGAAGTCGCTCAGTCGTGTCTGATTCTTTGTGACCCCATGAACTGTAGCCTATCACGCTTCTCCATCCATGGGATTTTCCAGGCAAGAGTACTGGAGTGGGTTGCCATTTCCTTCTCATAACCTCTGAATTATCTCCCCTCCTCAGCATTCATGAAGAATAGTGTTGAACTTCATTAATTTATACTCACTGATAATGTGATTTTGACACTGTTCATTAGTATTATATATGTTCACATTTTGTTTCCCCAACTATGTGAAAACTTCAGAGTAAGACTCATATCTTCTATTTCTTTTGTGTCTTATCTCTTTAGAGAAACTGATACTATAACACCCTCAATAAATATTCCTGACAGGCCAAATATTGACTGACAGAAGCAATTGGATAATATACCCCATGTTATCTTCTCAGTGAAAAACACTAAGTAAATCCATTAGTGTTATTATTGCTCCAGTGTGTGAATATATAAATATATTTAATATATTTAAATATATAAATATAATTGCTACTGTCGATGAATACCATCTTTACACATTATACTATACTTTCTAAACAAACATGGCTTTAAGTTGTCATGTAAATGCCCCAGATTTCCAAGTTTATCTCCCTAGCCTGAATCCCATTTTTGAGCTCCAGACTATTTTGACTTAGATCCTTCACGGACTTTTCAAACTCAACATTTCCAATATTACATTACTCTTAAAACACTCCTTACCACTGACTTCTATACACACTTCCAACCCCCGCCCTACCTTGCCTCTACCATATATCTAGCTACTCCTCCATCTTTTTTACTAGCTCATCATTCTCCAGCTGGCAATTAGGTACTGCAGTTATTCAAGGCTGGGGTTTCCTTGATGGCTCAGACAATAAAGAATCTGCCTGCAACGCAGGAGACCAGGTTTGATCCCTGGATTGGGAAGATCCCCTGGAGGAGAGAATGGCAAACCACTCCAGTATTCTTTGGAGAATCCCATGGACAGAGGAATCTGGAGGGCTACAGTCCAAAGGGTTACAAAGAGTCAGACACGACTGAAGTGACTTAGCACAGATGGACACGCACAAGGCTGAGTTCTAGGTTCTCTCTCTCTTTAGCTTGGACTTAACTAATATTGTATTTTCAGCCAAGGCTGCTCCATGTATTCACCTTTTCAGTATCTCCTCTTGGAGGTCTCTGAGGCCTCTGCATACTCAATATGTTGCTACCAAGCAACTCATTCTCTCCCCTGGCCTTTCACTTTGCCCTAGAGGAACGACAAACTGATCCTCTTCTAGTGATCCTTGCCTCAGTGAATCCGTCCAGTCACAGAACCAGGAACCTGGGAACCTCAGTCCTTTTACTGAACCACCAAGTTCTGTCCCTTTCATCACTTCAGTATGTCTCAAATCCATCCACTTCTGTCCATTCCCATGGCCTTTACTCTAGACCAATTGCCATGTTTTGCAATAATGTACTCACACCCACTTTTGTCCTATTTCATTATCCAAGCCACAGGCAGAATGACCATTTTGAAATATACCTCACCATGTTACACACAGCTTAACACTGGCTTCATGTTGCTTTAGGGATAATGTCAAGACTCCTAAAGTGGCTACAAGGCTGCCAGGGGCTGTAAGACTTGACCTATTTCTCTACCTCGTCTTAAATCATAAATATCCTAGTTTTTCCCACTCCAGCCTCAATGGCTTTATTCTACAATTGCAAACCAATAATTCTGTTCTTGTAAACCAGTGAATTTCATTTGCAGATATGTTTTATTTTAGGCAAAGCAAGCACTTTACAGTTCTTCAGTTTAGCAGCTCCCTCTATTATCTTACTGCAGAAGGAAATGGCAACCCACTCCAGTACTCTTGCCTGGAAAATCCCGCAGACGGAAGAGCCTGGTAGGCTGCAGTCCATGGGGTCACTGAGAGTTGGACACGACTGAACAACTTCACTTTCACTTTTCACTTTCGTGCATTGGGGAAGGAAATGGCAACCCACTCCAGTGTTCTTGCTTGGAGAATCCAGGGACGGGAGAGCCTGGTGGGCTGCCATCTATGGGGTCGCAGAGTTGGACACGACTGAAGTGACTTAGCAGCAGCAGCAGCTATTATCTTACACATTTGTCAATATAAGTGACCTGCCTGAACCCTGGAGGGGCATAGTATGGCAATGCATTTGAAATTGTGATTAGACCCTTGAAGACCCCAAACTCTTCTACCATTAGCTCTGATTCTTTTTTCTGGAATGCCTAATTTTTGGCCATGCCATGGGGCATGCATGATCTTAGGTCCTTAATTATGGGATGGAAACTTTGGGTTCAATCATTAATTCCTTAAAGAAGGCTTCTGTAGGAAATAATAAAAAATAAAATAAAATAAAAAGAAGGCTTCTGTAAACTTGTTTAGGTCATTCCTCTTTTTATGCTCTTATATCATCATGCACTAAGCCTTTTCTCAGAAGTACTTATCCCAGTTTCAATTTTACATAAATTTATTTGGTTATTTGATTAAGATCTCCCTTTCCCACTAGAATATAAACTCCCTGAAGTGCAGGGGTCAAGTTTTTATTTACTGTTGTATCTCTGATACATAGCACCTGTATAAGAAATATCTGTTGACAACAATAAAAATAAATAAGGTCAGTTCTTTAATTTCTAGTTCATTGCTATATCTAATTGTAACTACATTGAGATAATGTAGTTTGTCTTCTGAAATACTCAGAAAATTCTTACTCAGTTTTTAAGGCTCAGTTCAAGACTATAGCTTTTCCTAATGTTCTTCCCACCACCCCATCCCAATAGACATGGTTTCTCTCTTCTTTGTACCTTATAGTACTTCTTGCACACCCCTAATATTGGATAGATACTGACAAATTGTACTTTTTGTATATACTTTTTTTGGAACTGCTTGCTCTCTTACAGAAGTCTTTGTAGGAATTTTATCTTATTTTTTTTATCTTTTTTTTATCTTATTTTTATAGCTTAACCATCTAACATAATGGCTGGCATTCAGTAGGTGGACGGTAAATACGCATTGGTTGGATGAATAATGATCTGTTTTGCAGGTCTAGGGGTGCAGAAACTAAGGAAATGAAAGAAATACAGCACATACTAAGTGCTGAGCACTGTGGTAGGTCCTTTGCTGAAATAATCTTATTTGATATTTATGTCATATCTCAGGGGAAGTATCACTCATCTTTTATAGATTAAAAACTGAAGATAAGGCCTTTATTTCCTTTAAGATCATTTACCTGTTAAGTAGAGAAGCAGACAGTCATGTTTCTGTTTGTTTTCACTATCCTGTGTTAGAAATTTAATGTACAGCTTTCGTGGACTGTAGAAAAAAACAATTAGAAAATGTTACTTTTCATTTTTTGAATACCTGATCACTAATGCCATAATTTAAAAAAAGACACCATTTCCTAAAATTCCTGTTTTCAGGACTTAACTGGTGGTCCAGTGGTTAAGACTCTGTCCTTCCACTGCATGGGGCATGGGTTCAACCCCTGGTCTGTCCCTGGTTGGTGAAATAAAAGCCCACATGTCATGAGGAGAGGCCAAAAGAAAACAAAAAAGCAAACCATATAAAATATCGTACAATGAAATGAAACGTGTAACCCCCACCATCCTTCATTCATTCCACTCTACAGAGGTAATCTCTGCTGACAGTTTCTCGTATATCCTTTCAGAAATTATTATGATATTTCTTCTAATATACTAAAATGCTATAGTTTATACACATATAAAAGAAAACATGGATGTTTAATTTCATGTGAAGTTGTATAGCATCTAAAGTGTTTTAAATTTTGTTCATGGATATGTTTTACTAAACACGCCAAGATCATGTTGCATGAGTGCCAAGTCGCTTCAGTCATGTCTGACTCTTTGTGACCCTTTGACTGGAGCCCACCAGTCTGCTCTGTCCACAGGATTTTTCAGGCGAGAATACTGGGGTGGGTTGCCACACCCTCCTCCAGGGTATTTTTCTGACCCAGGGATGGAACCCAGATCTCCTTTGGCTCCTGCATTGCAGGCAAATTCTTTACCGCTAAGACACTGGGGAAGCCCAGATTATATATTACATGTGGATAAATTATGTTGTCTTTGTTGTTCAGTCGCTAAGTCATTTGTGACTCCACGGACTATAGCATATCAGGCTTCCCTGTCCTTCACTATCTCCCGGAGTTTGCTCCAACTCATGTCCTTTGAGTCAGTGATGCTATCCAACTATCTTATCTATGGATAAACTATATATGACTCCAAAGTTATTTAAGTTATAAGGCATCTCTGATACATGATGCTTATTCCTGGTAAAAATAACTAAATAAAAGTTAATGATCTGTGGTCTAAAGGAGACTACTTAATGGAAGACTTAAAAAGACAGCTGAGATTCATGACAATGTTTATTAAAATGGGGCCTCCTCTGCAAGCTTTAGAGCCCATGCTCCTCAACAAGAGAAGCTACTGCAATGAGAAGCCTGTGCACCACAGCTAGAGAGTAGGCCTGCTTGCCACAACCAGAGAAAGCCCACCTGCCACAAGGAAGAGCCTATTCCCCACAAGGAAAACCCAGCACAGCCAAAAAAAATAGGGGCCTCTCTTGGATTTGGGGAAGCTTGGGTTGGGGTAGGGAGTGGGCAGGGATGACCCCCTGTCTGCAGCTGGCTTAACCTACTCAGACTTGGCATATGACTGGGTGAAGGTGGCCTTCCTCTTCAGCATTGTCAACACCATGGTGCACCTCGACCCCTTGGACCCCGCCAGCCTCCCCAGTGTATCACAGTGCTCTGCATTTTTGAGGAGCTGTACTTTGACCTTGGCATCAATGACTGGCTCTGTAAGTACGTATACAACCACATTGGTAGGGAGCACTCTGCAGTGATCCCAGAGCTGGCGGCCACTGTGGCCACATTTGCCATCACCACTTGGTGGCTCTGTCTTATGATATTGTCTACCTGTGGTCATGCCTTAACTGCTTGGGCCTCAACTTTGAACTCTGGGTACAGAAGCTGGCAGAGTAGGGGCCCCTAATGTGAACTGAAGCCTCACTTTTGGAGCAGATGTTCTGCAGCCTCCAAGCTATCTTTGGGGCCATGCACTTCTTTTTTTTTTTTTTTTAACTTCAAAGTGTTTTTATTTTTTTTATTTTTTTTATTTTTTCATTTATTTTTATTAGTTGGAGGCTAATTACTTTACATCATTGTAGTGGTTTTTGTCATACATTGAAATGAATTAGCCATGGATTTACATGTATTCCCCATCCCGGTCCCCCCTCCCACCTCCCTCTCCACCCGATCCCTCTGGGTCTTCCCAGTGCACCAGGCCCGAGCACTTGTCTCATGCACCCAACCTGGGCTGGTGATCTGTTTCACCCTAGATAATATACATGTTTCGATGCTGTTCTCTTGAAACATCGCACCCTCGCCTTCTCCCAGAGTCCACAAGTCTGTTCTATACATCAGAGTCTCTTTTTCTGTTTTGCACATAGGGTTATCGTTACCATCTTTCTAAATTCCATATATATCTGTTAGTATACTGTAATGGTCTTTATCTTTCTGGCTTACTTCGCTCTGTATAATGGGCTCCAGTTTCATCCATCTCATTAGAACTGATTCAAATGAATTCTTTTTAATGGCTGAGTAATATTCCATGGTGTATATGTCCCACAGCTTCCTCATCCATTCGTCTGCTGATGGGCATCTAGGTTGCTTCCATGTCCTGGCTATTATAAACAGTGCTGCGATGAACATTGGGGTGCACGTGTCTCTTTCAGATCTGGTTTCCTCGGTGTGTATGCCCAGAAGTGGGATTGCTGGGTCATATGGCAGTTCTATTTCCAGCTTTTTAAGAAATCTCCACACTGTTTTCCATAGTGGCTGTACTAATTTGCATTCCCACCAACAGTGTAAGAGGGTTCCCTTTTCTCCACACCCTCTCCAGCATTTATTGCTTGTAGACTTTTGGATAGCAGCCATTCTGACTGGTGTGTAATGGTACCTCATTGTGGTTTTGATTTGCATTTCTCTGATAATGAGTGATGTTGAGCATCTTTTCATGTGTTTGTTAGCCATCTGTATGTCTTCCTTGGAGAAATGTCTGTTCAGTTCTTTGGCCCATTTTTTGATTGGGTCATTTATTTTTCTGGAGTTGAGCTGGAGGAGTTGCTTGTATATTTTTGAGATTAATCCTTTGTCTGTTGCTTCGTTTGCTATTATTTTCTCCCCATCTGAGGGCTGTCTTTTCACCTTGCTTATAGTTTCCTTTGTTGTGCAAAAGCTTTTAAGTTTCATTAGGTCCCATTTGTTTATTTTTGCTTTTATTTCTAAAATTCTGGGATGTGGGTCATAGAGGATCCTGCTGTGATTTATGTCAGAGAGTGTTTTGCCTATGTTCTCCTCTAGGAGTTTTATAGTTTCTGGTCTTACATTTAGATCTTTACTCCATCTTGAGTTTATTTTTGTGTATGGTGTTAGAAAGTGTTCTAGTTTCATTCTTTTACACGTGGTTGACCAGTTTTCCCAGCACCACTTGTTAAAGAGGTTGTCTTTTTTCCATTGTATATCCTTGCCTCCTTTGTCAAAGATAAGGTGACCATAGGTTCGTGGATTTATCTCTGGGCTTTCTATTCTGTTCCATTGATCTATATTTCTGTCTTTGTGCCAGTACCATACTGTCTTGATGACTGTGGCTTTGTAGTATAGTCTGAAGTCAGGCAGATTGATTCCTCCAGTTCCATTCTTCTTTCTCAGGATTACTTTGGCTATTCGAGGTTTTTTGTATTTCCATACAAATTGTGAAATTATTCGTTCTAGTTCTGTGAAAAATACCGTTGGTAGTTTGATAGGGATTGCATTGAATCTGTAGATTGCTTTGGGTAGTATAGCCATTTTGACAATATTGATTCTTCCAATCCATGAACACGGTATATTTCTCCATCTGTTTGTGTCCTCTTTGATTTCTTTCATCAGTGTTTTATAGTTTTCTATGTATAGGTCTTTTGTTTCTTTAGGTAGATATACTCCTAAGTATTTTATTCTTTTTGTTGCAATGGTGA